ATTTTAGCAAAATCTATAGACATTTTCAGTGGGATGCAACATACAGTAAGGTATGGGATTTTCAACCCATGGCTCTGTGAACACTTACACGAAGATACCCTTGTAGCTGTGACCTGGATGAAGATGTAGAATGTTCCCAACACCCCCCGAAAGTTCCTTCAAGCTACTCCCTGGCAATGCCCACCCACACCCTGGTCCCAGAGGAGTGGAGAAGGCCAGTAGTAGAATTTTCTGAGGATCTCTTGGCAAAAATCAAACATAGCTTGGTCAGGACCCTTGGAATGGAGGCCGACGTCAGCCTATCAAAGGCTGGCCACTACCTCCAGGATTTTCCTTGGGGGACATGACAACTGAATAGGGTCAAACAGGAGGAAAGTGAGGGTGCCAGAGATCATTAAGGAGAGAACAGGACAGTTGGCCATTGTCCTACGTGCCCAAGACCACGCCCTTATGGAGACAGCAGAGAAAGTTTGAGGGGAGCTGCGTCAGTAAAAGCATGGGGGTGAGTTCCCACGGGAGAGCTTCACGAGCTCACACTCTAGAGCACAAGCAGGGCGGATCCCTACTCTAGCCAGAAAGTTCTCCCTTGCAGTCAGAAGCACACTGAGGAAACGGGCTTACCTTCTTATGTGGCGTAGACCCAGACCCCGGCACCCCAAGAAGCACTTGATTGGGTTCCTGTGTGTGTCCTGAGTCCTTTGCAAAAACAGTTGCTGCAGCCTCACACATGGGCCTTGGAGCTGAGGGAGCCCCTGGGGACCGGGTCTGGACTAACAGAAGGAAGAGCGGGTGGGCGGAGCTAGACGGTGGGCTCCCCGGAACTGTTTTCTCTCAGTTATTCTACGAGAAGTGCATGGCGTCGGGTGAGTGTGTTGTGAGTGCAGGGATGTGGTGAACCTGGAATTTCCAAAGGAGTCATGCGGGGAGCAGAGTGCAGTCATTGGTGCTGGGATGGGTCCAGATCCGGGGATACATGTGGGGATATGTGAGCCAAGCAGATTAACCGCCCCCCTTTCAGGTGTATGTGTAAGGAACGCTTTGACCTGCAAATAAGGAGAACACAGTCACAGGCATTCAAACAGACAGCCATTGCTCTGTATCTGATGAATCCGGGGAAAGATGGTCCCAGCTGGAGCTGCTCTAGAATGATGCAATCAGGCACTCTCGCTCTCTCTTTTCTGAACCGTTCCTCTCCAGGATTGTTGGCTGGTGGTCCCCAAACAGCAGATGCACCTCCCGGCATCATCGTCATGTCTGCACCGAAGGAAGAATACTAGGAGAGAGCAAAGGGCAGGCTTGCATGCCTGCTCAGTCTGTCCTTCTGTAGGGAAGTAAAGACCCTTCTTGGAAGTCTCATTTAGCAAACTCCCACTTAGATCTCCTTGACCAGAGCTGAGGTCGTTCGGCTACCCAAAGACCAGTCACAGACTGAGGAAGCCGACTCTACCTTATCTTCTTAAGGGAAACAAGATGGATGTAGCCTTGGTCTTTCAGTCTCAGTCCTCCTGGCTGTGCTTTATCTGTCACTTGAACAAAGAGGTTGTATCAGCAGGAAAGCGGGGCTGGGGAATAGGGACAAAGCGGGGAATGAGTCCTCCGTGGATTTTTTTCTCATGTAATATTGGAAAATTCTGATCAACTATAGATGATGAACATTTCTTTCAAAGGTCTTACCTCTTTAGCTTTGGGTCACTCTCCAGTGCCTTCAAACACTTATTTCATCACTGTTTTGCCCAGGTTTGTCATTGTTATGTCTGATACAGGCTAATTCGTCATTATCAGAAGCTAGAAGTCTCCATATTTTTGTCAGTTCACCAATTTATATTTATTACGTTTGGGTTAACTGACGCTTAGACTCATTCAAACCATTGTCTAAGCAAAGAATTTGCAAAATAAAGTATTTGTTTGGGCTCACATACTCAAATCCTGGGGAGTTCTGAATAAACAAATTGCATTTGGTTCTACCTCAAGATGACCAAATGAGTCCATAGGACGTTTCATTTACTCGGAAGAACGAAACGTCACAGGAAGTAAGAACCCCCATTACAAGACTTACCATGACTCCTACAGAACCCCCTTTGGGACATTTGTGTCCTGGGCCACGCCTCCCCCCTCAGACCAGCTCTAGTAGCAAGATCAGCTCTGCTACCATCCTTGATGCTTTGTTGTGTTGGGTCCAGACTCGCCCCTCCTTTGTGATGGCCGAGAGAAGGTAGATGCTTGGGTGTACAGGGACTTAACAGAGCTGATATCCCAATAAAAAAATACAGGGTAGATAAGTGGGTCCAAAAAAAAAATCCAATCATATACAGTCTATAAGGCTTGCTTTAGATTTAAGGGAATGCATAAGCTAGAGACGAAGGGATAGACAAAGACATTCCATGCAGATTGCACCTAAAATAGAGTAAAGGTGGCTGTACTTGTATCAGACAAAGTAGACTTTGAGTCAAAAATTGTCACAAGAGAAAAGAAGGTCATTACATATTGATAAAAGGGTCAATTCACCAGGAGGATATAACAATTATAAATATATGTGCACTCAACATCAGAGAACCTGATTATAAAATATAAACCTGGGGAGATCTGAAGACAGAAATGGGTAGCAGTTCAAAGATAGCAGGAAACTTTGATACTCCGCTTTCGATAATGGCTAGATCATCCAGACAGAAAATCAATAAGATGACAGCAGGCTTGAATTACACTATAGACCAAACAGATGTTGTAGTCCTATACAGAACACTCCATCCAACAACAACAGAATGCAGATTCTTCTCAAGCTCTCGTGGAACATTCTCCAGGAGGGATCAAATATTAGGCTACACAGCAAGTCTTAACACATTTAAGAATCATTCCAAGTACCTTTTCCAACCCAGTGGAGTGAAACTAGAAATCACTAACAGAAGGAAGACAGGAAAACTCACAAGTAGATGGAAATGAAACAACACACACTGGACTAACAACTGGGTCAAAAAGAAGTCAAAGGGAAGATTAGAAAATATCTCAAGGCATACAAAAAATGGAAGCAGTTTGAATCTTCCCTTCCCTTCCCTTCCCCTTCCAAGCACCTTGAATCTCCCAGAAGAAGCTCCTTCTGAAGAAAGTTTAATGGTGCCCCAGTTCCCTCATAACTTCCATGTGGACACATTCCTTCTAGGCATGGGCTGGCCCACTCCTCCTGGTGCATCTAATAGGTACTCAGTATGATACTGAGCAGGGTTAACCGACTTAATGAAAGCAGAGTCAGGAAAAAGCAGAATTCTAAATTCTGCTTTAAAAAATGGGACTAACATTGTAAAAATTAATAAGGATAACACAGCTCTAAGCAGTAAATTCCAAAGGAGGTCGCCAATCATAGCACTCCCTCACCTCTGACCAGTCTTGGCCACAGGGAATAAGAATGTGCCCCAGGTGATTCAATCTGGTGCCTTTCCAAAGATTTGTAAGTTAAAACTAATTGAGATTAGAATGAAGAGGAGTCCCTTCCTCTCTGACGAGGATGCTGGGAAAATGGGGACCTTGGGGTGCACAGTGGTGGTGTTTCTATCCTCTCAGAGAAAGCTGACATAAGATTCTGAAGCTGACACACAGAGAGAAGGAGAGTCTGGAGTGGGAGAAGAGTCTGGCCACCTTCAGGCACCTAGGTCTAGCCATCCGAGACCAGAATATCCCTATCTTTCTACAGCACGAGGAGACAATAAATTCCACCCTTCTTGCCTCAGTTAATTTGATTTTGGGTTCCATCACTTGCAAACACCAAGGTCCCAGTTCGTACACTCTATTACTCATTTGGCATGTTCTTAGACACTCTTTACTGTCGCAAGCAAATGTTTTCACGTAAATGTCTCACTTCCCCAACAAGAAAATAATTTCCTTGACAATGGTAGTTTTGCCAGCATACCTGTCCCAGTACTGAGCACATGGTTAAGTGTTTTAAATATATTTATTAATGGTTATTATGAAGTAGATGTACAGTGTTAAGAAGAGGAGAGAATTTTTGATAGAAGAAATTCTTGTTAAAGGCATTCCTCTGTGTTCTGACTTTGCACCTAGCTGACCAGTCCACAAGAGAGCCAGCTGTATAATTTGGGACTGTGCCCACATTACACAATTTATTTGGAATATTGGAAATTGCTTTCCTTTTTTTTTATATTGACTTGGCATTCCCAGTTAGTTTCTCACTCCTGTCAAGATTTTCAGGAAGGTTCATCTTTCTCTGGGGGATGGGTGTTCCCCCACAACCTCTCCCCTCAGTCCAAGACAAAATATATTATAATAGTACTTATTAAGTTGAGACTAGTGCCTCGATGAACTAAAAGGCATTTTCTAAAAGGCATGTGACTGGTCTTCCAGACTGGGTGCTTTGTCAGAGGGGATAGTTTCCATCACCTGCTGAGAGAACACCAAACTCCACCCCCTTCAGCAAGGGGAGGCCACCACCTGCTTCGCCCAGAGTGCGCAAGGAGATGGTTTTGTTTTATTTTTAATCGGAGTTTTATTTTATTATTTTCTTAGTCGAGTATAATTAAACTACAGTGTTAAAATAGCTTCAGGGGTACAATGGTCATGATTCAACAATTCTATACATTTCTCAGTACTCATCAAGACAAGTGTGCTCTGAATCCCCTTTGTTTTGGTGGACAGATGGGCAGCTGGTCTGATGGAGGCAAGACGGACACTTGCATCCCGCTGGCCACCCTGTGATGACTCAGTTTTATCATCTGGGAAGTTTCACACCTTATGTGCTTCACTTGAAATCCTGGCAAATTCTTGCCTTCTACATGTTGACATGAGCATGGTTTGGCTTCCCTTTTTTGTTTACAAAAAAAAAAAAAAAAAAAAAAGCAAACACCCAGAGATCTGTAGATATAGGATTTATGTTTTACCACTGAGTCTCAACATTAGTTGGAGCATTGGGAAAGAACTTAAATTGGCTGCTGAGTGGAAAACAAAGGCACCTATCTTAGAAAAGACGACAGGGGGTGGTGGGGGCGGGGGTTGGGAGGCCTTAAGCGCTCACGCTTGCGCAGATGGAGAATCCTAAGATGCCCAGGAATCCAGTCTTGGAGCAGAAGCGAGTACTGACGTTTTCTGAAAAAGGGACAAATTTGTGAAGAAGGAGCATTGAGAAATACATTATTAGAATGCAGCAGACCCATGCCTTCTCGTTAATGTCTTGACGAGGGATTGTACATGTAATTCTCTGTTACCCAAGTTTTTAGCTACCCTTGTATTGCAAAGGGTAATGATGCGTTAGCTTAAATAAGACTGACAAGTCCTGGGGGCCCCTGGGTGACTCAAGTCCGTTAAGCGGCTGCCTTGGGCTCAGGTGGTGATCCCAGGTTCCTGGGATGGAGCCCTCCCCCATCTTGGGCTCCCTGCTCAGTGGAGGGTTCTGCTTCTCCCTCTCCATCTGCCCCTCCCCCAACACTCTTGTGTGCTCTCTCTCAAGTAATTAAATAAAATGTTTAAAAAAAAAAAAAAAGACTGACAACTTCTAGAAGTGCTGTATGGCTCTATTTGATTAATGCTTTGACATTCTGCATGGGTGACCTGCCTGTGTGCTTTTAGTCGTAAGTACAATGACCCTGCTAAAAGAAAAATATCTTAAAACATTTTTTCTAGACAGTAAAAATGTGATAAATGTTCATTATTTTCTTTTGCCTCTTACCTTCTTCCACTACTCTGGGTAATTTATCTTGTTGCATTCACCATCTGCAGCCTGGCCCCTCTCCCATATTAGAAACTTTGTATAAAAATACCAGTGATGACTGCAATGATATATGCTAGCTGGACCACTCAGGGCTTTTTTTCCTTGTCAATCAGTGCACTTTGCTTGCTCTTCCTTAGACTCATTCTGAAAATAGCTTTTAAAACTTTTTTGAAGAATAATTGACAAGTGCATTTGTATACATTTCAAGTGTACACCGTGCTGATTTGATATCCACACACGTTTGTAGAATGATTACCAAGATCGAGAGAACACATCCGTCACTGCACACAGTTAACATAGGTAGTTCTTTCCTGTGTGTGCTGCGTGGTAAGAATGCTTAGGCTCTCCTCTCAGCAACTTTCAAGTGTACAATCCTGTATCATTAACACCCATCAGCACGAAGCACAGGAGGAAATCCAACAAGTTTTCCCCTGGCACCCAGGACATCTGAAAATTTCATCCTCTGTGTTAACCCATCAACTTCTCCACCAGAGGGCGTGTTCCTTAGGGCAGAGTTTATCATTCATTGCTCACTCTCCCTCATGTTTAGCACGATTGCCACACACCATAGGTGTTTCGTTCCCGAACTCAACCAAAATGAGCCATGTTTCACGTCTACCTGTATTTCACACAACTCCGAGCAGAATGGCCCACACAGGAAGCTTCCAGGAAATGTCTGGGGAAGGAATAATTCAGTACTCACCTATCTTCTCAACCACTTCCCCCTTGTACAGGGGGATGTGACTGCAGAGATACCTGATCGGGGAACCGATCAGGAACCAGTCTATGTCCATGATCAAGGACTGCAGGGGGCTGTATTTGACCCAGAAGTATTTGTCAGAGTACATGTTCTTCATAGCCTAGAACAGCAGAGGAGAGGGGGATAGGATGAAGCAGGTTGACCTAACCTGATGTCCCTTATTCTAAGCTTTTGCTTTTTCATACTATGAAGCAGAAACCCATCAGCAATGCTCAGGACGCCATCTCCTTCTGAGCACTTGGTCTGCAGGGAAGCCTCGATATTACCAAAGCTATATCCCTCTTGGTGGCAGTGAAACCCAGGGAGGGTGACTCCCATGGCACAGGGGACACAGATGGGAAGTTACAGGGGAGAATGCAACACCACGTTGCAAGCCTTACGCTGTATTTGTTTATTCTCGCTGTCCCGTGTTGTTTCTTTGCACCTTTGTGTTGTGGACTAATATGACTTCACTCGTTTTTCTGCCAGTCACTATTTCTAAGAACACTGCTGTTCAGTCCTTTACAGAAAAACACTGGAATTTATAAGTTCTCGAATTGGGGGCTGGATGGTAGAAATCAAGCTAAGTAAAATCAATAAAGGAGAAAACACTTTAAGGGGTGGAGAGTGCATAACCATGGTAAGATGTAATATTATGATCGTTCCCCTTACTCTCTTCTTTCCTCTGTAGGCACCCATTTTCCCGGGCAAAGGAACGGGGAATGGGGAAAGGTACTGCAGAATCACCTGTTTCTCGTAGATGTATCGTTCTAGTTGGTCCAGAGCAGGGATCGCCTTATGGTCCATCTTCAGGATGTAGCAAGCTCTTCGGGAGAGCAGCCGGGATGCGATGTAGCCCTGGGGCAGGAAGAACACAGTTACTGGCCTGCCTGGCTCCCCGGTTCCAAACTGGTGGGGAGGACATTTGAGCCTCACTGACGAAAGCCTTGAACATGCGCAGTGAGTGCACGTGACCATTTTTCGCTACCCATTCGCCTTCTTTTCATCATAGGTTTACTTTTTGGCTTGTGGTTTCTATCTCTGAGGTTGTACAAACCCATAATCTGTGCCCCACTTCTCATGTTTTGCAACCAGGGCCTGTAGTGTTAGGTTTGAACAATTAAGAAGCAGCAGCTGTCTGTTTCCTTCTTTCTTTCTTTCTTTTTTTAAGATTTTATTTATTTACTTGACACAGCGAGAGAGGGAACACAAACAGGGGGAGTGGGAGAGGGAGAAGCAGGCTTCCTGCCAAGCAGGGAGCCTGATATGGGACTCGATCCCAGGACCCTGGGATCATGACCTGAGCTGAAGGCAGATGCTTAACAGCTGAGCCACCCAGGCGCCCCTGTCTCTCTTTCTATTGATTTCGTTCTGCCTTTTCCTTAATTTGGGGTAAATATAGTATTCTTTAGAACTGTGCTTTCCAATATGTTCACTCCCAGCCACATGGGCTATTTAAATTTAAATTCAAATTAAGTAAAATTTAAAATACACTTCCTCTGTCACACAATTCAAGTGCCCTGTAGCCACAAGCAGCCAGTAGCTTGTCTGTTGGAAAATACAGATATAGAGCATTTCCAGCGTTGTAGAAATTTCTGCTGGACAGTGCTGCTTGAGAAAATCTCCTTTGCGTGGCATGCTCCCCCTCCCTGCCAACACACACACACATTTCATCCATTCTTCTCTCCTTTACCATCTTCTCTCCCTCCTTTCTCCATCTCAAACCCAAGCAGGCTGGAGAGGCTGGGTTGGAGGAAGGTGGTATAGAAATAGCAATGGTAGGGGAGGCCCAGGAGCCAGACGAAACCGGAGGCCACCTCACCTTCACCCTGAATGGAATTTTCTCTACAGAGACCCAAATAATTATACAGTCTGTGAGGCTGTATGTCATACAAACCCACTTCTAGTTCCCATTTTTCAATTCTCACAAATTGCCAGTTCCTAAAATTCAAAAATAGCCCGAGGCAAAGCCTGATGGCCGTGGAAGGGGCTTAAACCGAGTCCTCACCTCTCTGGGTTTTTTTGTTGTTGTTGTTTTGTTTTTTTAAAAGACACTTGGGGGATTTCCCTGAAATCTGCTTTAAAAACGATTTCAGTACAAATTCCTTTAAAATTGTATCTTTCAAAAATTTTGTGTTTTCAGATGTGTCCTAGAACTGCCAATGCCAATGGGGAGGAGACATGTGAGGAGGTTCCTACAAGAAAAGGAGACAAAAAGTACGTTCAAATGCCCAGTGAGATGGACTGTGACATACTTATATCCACAGTACGTAGCTCTGTCCCAGGGTAAAAGCAGCCTCCTGATCAGATGGAACGAATAGAAAACAAACAAATAAATGGATAAAGGACCCAATAACTTTTCTAAGCAGGTTTCTGAGATTTATTGTTAATAGCTTCAGTTAAGTAACTGAAATTTGTAAAGAGTTTGGATTAGCACACTTTCCTTCTTCCAGAAGAAGTATGATTTATTGCATATCCTACTGACATAGTTGAAGAGGTATAGTTGTTCTGGATTTCTGCTATTCTATGATTGTTTATTCCATAATCACTCTTTTTCTGCATGAGTTTTTCTATTAGAAGCCCTAATTCATTCATTTATTCATTCAGCCAATATTTTTGAAAGCCTGTGTGCCAGGCTATACTCTGGGTTTTAGTCCCCTCTTCTAGACACTGTCTGAGCCTGTAGTGAGGCAATTATCATGATGCTCCAATTACCACCTCAAAAGACCAAACAGATGTGTATGTTACCTGTTACACATTTTTCTTAGAAGTGGTTTTGTTTGGGAAACCTAGGTGGCTCAGTCAGTTAAGTGTCCCACTCCTGCTTTCAGTTCAGGTCATGACCTCATGGTCATGAGATCGAGCCCCCAGCCCGAATCTGAGCCCAGCTCAGAGTCTGCTTGAGGTTCTCTCTCTCCCTTGCTCTCTGGCCCTCCCTCTCCTCAAACGCACACACACCCTCTCTCTCTTTCTCTCTAAAATAAATAAATAAAATCTCCCTTTTAAAAAAAAAAAAAAGGGAAAACAGGGCTCCTGGGTGGCTCAGTGGGTTAAAGCCTTTGCCTTCAGCTCAGGTCATGATCCCAGGGTCCTGGGATCGAGCCCCACATCAGGCTCTCTGCTCAGCGGGGAGCCTGCTTCCCCCTCTCTCTCTGCCTGCCTCTCTACCTACTTGTGATCTCTTTTTTTCTGTCAAACAAATAAATTTTAAAAATCTTTAAAAAATTTAAAAAGAGAAAAGCAAAAGTAAGGGAATTCTGGAAGAATTGCAAGGATAGTTCTTGGAATTCAAATGCATAGTAAATGGCTGCCCCTTCACCCTTTAGAAACCCAGTGAGTCTTGAAGAATATAAAAATTCCTTTGTGGCTTACATGTTTATAGTCAAAAATCATGGTAGAGGAGCATGAACCTGAATGGATGTTAATGATGGCAATATTTTTTTGATTGTCGATTGTCACTGTCTCCTGAAGATTGCCACCATTGTTGCTTGGGCTGATGATGTTATAAACCTAGATTAACAACAAAGACATAATGGTTTTTCCATAAGTCCTATGCACTGGAAAGACAACCCTTCCAACCAAATGAAGCCCTCCACTTGTTGTGAGCAAGAGACTGAAGTCTGAAACCTCTTCCCTGGCATCCCAGACCAAAAACCATGCTAAAGTAAGAATGTGAAGCTCTTCTTCATGGTTTACTATATTATATACAAGAAAAGTAATAACATCACAGAAGAAATGAAAGTGACCACATTGTAAAGCAATGGGTTGCATTTTTTTTAAAGGATTGCAGTTTGGAAAGAAATAACCAAAATTATCATTTCCATTATTGGTTATTTCTGGGATGCCATCCCAAATAGGGCATATGGGCTCTCTACCGTGCTCCACATAGATGATCTTGTATCTTCCTTTTTCTCTGCCAGTAACTGCAGGGTATGAAGTCCAAAGGAAACCAACTTACCTCATATCCATGAGATTGTGTCCCAAAGATGGCCAACACCAGAAACACCACCTGAAAAACAGACCAGTTGCATCCATTCTCTATAGGGCAGTCATTAAGGATGGGGACTTAGGGAGACACTGGACAGGACAAGCACAAGTATCTCAGAAAATATACACTTAGAGAGACAGGTGGGTGGTCATGGGCAGTCAACAGTCCATCTCCCAGATGTGAAACACACATTCCCTCATTAGACAGGTGTTTGCTGACTTCATGCTATTTGTCAGACACCAGGTTCTACCTTTATGCCCCATCCCTGACCCTTCCCAACATCATAAGCTTGTAGGCAACAAGAGTTCTTATGCCAGATACAACTTGGAGTAGGTGAACAGTGAGGAAGGACTCCTTTTACTATGAGAACACCCTGGTGTGACTCACAGTGGATGTGGATGACAGAAGTGAAGTTGTGTCTCATGGTTAAAAAAAAAATGTATCAAATTCCCTTGAGACCAAGAGGGTATATTACAGTGGGATTCGTGGTGATGAGATACAATGGATTCCCAAGGGAAACTATGAAAATAGGATACTTGGAGGCATGGCAAACTTTCAAGGCTGACATCAAGGAAAACCTCTATATTCTCCTTAGTGATGCCCTCAGACAAATGTTAGGCTGATGGACCATGAGACTGACACTGACGCAGTGCTGACATTTTGCTGCAGTTGTGTGAAGAGTCTTATCCAATGGGTAAAAGACCCAGTTTTGCGTTCTCTTTTCTGAACACTACCATGTACACCACTGCCATTGCAAGCCGCTCATGAAGGAGGTCTGCAGGAAGGCAAGTATTTTTAAGACCTGTCAGGAAGATTTTTTTACTTTCCTAACAATCACCAGTAACATTTCTCTTCTGATGACTGGGGAGGAGTGTCTGACAAAGACCAGCATGCAGATCTCCAACCTGCCTACTCGCCCAGCCACATGCCTTCTCTGACTCCAGGCCAGCTCCTGTAACCTCTGACACTCTTCTCTATTCTATTTAAATGGGTCTAATACAGAGGTTTGAACAGTTGGGTGGAGGACTGACCACCATAGTAATACAATTAGAGAGAGCTCAGGAAGTGTCCCCGCCCCCCGAATAACCACCCGCCCAACACCGTGTTTAATACACCAAGGTTACAGGATTAGGTTTCAGCAACAGATCTCCTCTTGGAAAATGAAGAGACCCTTGGAGATGGAACTCTTTAAGCCAACAATCTTGAACACCTGATGGGAAGAAACTTATCATTTTGCTTTCTCCATCACCAACTAAATGAGGATAAAGGATAGATCACTGGGGGAAGGAGTTCCATTCTAGGTCAAAACATAGAGCTCTGCTCATGGAGCAGTGCAGAGTGGAGCCATGGGAGACTGGGGTCAGGACTGGGATCCGGAGGAGGAGAGATTGCACAGCAGGAACGCTGTGCCTTGATTGCTCCTGCCAGTGGGGCCGAAGATGGGTACATTTCAAGTCTAAACCTCATATTTACTGGAATGGGAAAATCACATTCCTCTGTCCCTCAGTCTCCTCATCCATAGGATGGGGGTAATACTGCTCAGCTCACAGAATTCTTGAGGTGAATAAATCAAAGTATTTATGTTCAGCATAGGATCTCATATGCACTCAGAAAATGACAGCTGCTATTATCTTTTTCAATAAAAATTGCCCCTTCTCTTTTAAAGAGTAAATGCAGTTGTCCCAAAATGCCTACTTTCCTTCTCAAGCTCATGATAGTAAGGAATTATTATTAAGAATTCTCCAAATTAAAATTCTCTAGATATTTCCAAAATGTTTTCTTTGCATTTTTTAAGTAAATGTCTTGGAAAATAGACAATGGACTGATAAATATCCGACCTCATATTTAACACTATCGTTGCCGAAGACATTATTTAATTCAACCACAGAAGCTTAGAAGCATGCACAGTGTTCATCTAAGACTTCTGAAATCCAAGGCATATTGGATTTGAGCATTTTCTCTAAAAGCCACCGCAAGAATATAAAGAAGCATAAAAAAATACTCACAAGGACTTTCATTTTGCCTGATGGGAAGAAGGTGCCAGACGAGGCTGCCGGTGCAACTCCAACCCTTTATATTAGCTTTAAGGTGTGGAAATCTCTTTCCAGAACAATTACATTGGAAAAGGCTATGTCCATATCTCTGACAAACCCCAGCAAACTCCTTTATCAGGATTGAGACATAGCCGCATAACCTGATATCAATAAAGTTCATTAGTCAGTAATAAAAATCTGCCACTTGGTCACTCAGTAAATATTCCTTGCTTATCTGTGTAACATTGCAGTCAAGATTTCAATTTCCACCCTTTAAAAATATTATAAGATGCTTGTTCTACACCAGCATCTTATAGACAAACAAGTCCTACTATCTGCCTCTGATGGTAAAGTCCTCCCTTCAGACTTGAACTGGGTTTTCGGTGTCTTTTCATGTGTGCCCTGTATTTTGAATTCTTCTGCCTGAAGGATGGACGTAAGACTAGAGGAAACACAGTGGCTAGGGGACTCCTATGACTTAATTTCTTCTCCCTGTTAAAGTCACTTCCAATTTCCAGAGACTCATGAGGAACAAGATCTAGAGAGCACTCTGCCCAATTACCAGAGTTAACCACATGTTTACATTAAGCATTGCCCATAACTCCATAAAAACTATGAGTTATACATCTCTAGCTATCCTGAAGGGCACTGAAAATTTCTCAGATTAAAAAAAAAATGGGATACAGTTGAATTTGTGTAATTTTTATAATACCACACTCAAAAATGTTTGGCTAGGGTTACAGTGGGATCATTAATTCAGAAGGCAGGGAAATATAAAAATAAACATTACCTGTCAATGGCAAATTTGTTTACCATTGAGAATCGCTATGGTAAGCACAGAAGGAACACAAGTGATGTCCTTGTTCTACAGCCGGAATGACTTCCTGACTAGCGGCTTAAAAAATGGGACTTTTAAAAAGCAGACATTGGGCAGTTTGGGGGTTACCTAGTTTCCTGGAATTCCCCTCCCCTGGCTGGTCAGCTGGGTGGATGAAAAATGTGCTGCTTTATTAAGCCGTTTTGAGATACTGGCAGCAAGAAGAACTCCAGTTTTATAGCACATCTGCAAATGTTCTCCCATATCTGGCTCCCAAGACCCCAAAAAGCAAGCCAGCTCCCACACCTGCAGACATGAGGGCAGACAGAGGTATTACACCCTTCGCATTTCTTCCTCTTGCTGTCTGCCTTCTTTGTATTGATAAAAATTCTGCATTCTCTTTCTTTCCCTTCTATTTCCGGGACATTTTGACTTTTTTATCATTAGTTCTAACTTTGAGATTTTAGCTTACATCCTTAATTATTCCCATCATCTACAAACCCAAAAGGAGTCCTGTATTTTGAACTCAACAGAAACAAAGAACTCAGTCATCTTGGAGTCATCACTAAGCATCTTTCCCAGCCCCCTATTGTTGTATTTGGACAGTGTTTTACTTTCACCTTTAAAATAGCACAAAAATACTCAAGTCTCCCATCAATAGATCATTAAATTTGTTCAAATATTTTATCAATTTGGGGGCTAATTCTTATTTTTTATATCCCAAAAACTTTATTTTCTTTTGGTTTAAGTATATCTTTTGTAGTTCTTTTATTGGGAGCCACTGGGTTTTAATTTCTTATTATGTCTGAAAATGTTTTTATTTTCCCCTCACTTTGGAATAGGAGTTATAGATCGACAGGTATTTTCCTTCTATCACTTTAAAGATGCTATTCTTGGGCGCCTAGGTGGCTCAGTGGGTTAAGCTTCTGCCTTTGGCTCAGGTCATGATCTCAGGATCCTGGGATCAAGCCCCACATCGGGCTCTCTGCTCGGCCGGGAGCCTGCTTCCCCCTCTCCCTCTGACAGCCTCTCTGCCTACTTGTGATCTCTCTCTGTGTCAAATAAATAAATAAAATATTTAAAAAAAAATAAAGATGCTATTCCATTGTCTTTCCAACTCCACTGTCGCTGAGGTGAAACCAGCTAGCAACACAGTTACAATGTTCCTGATTTGTTCTTTTCCAGTTACATGCTGTTAAGCTTCTGCTATTTTGTCTCATAATCTCTTGTTCTTTTTTTTTTACGAGTGTAATACCTTCATTTATATCTTAACCACATCCTTAGTCTACCTCTGAAACTTATAATGTGCTGTAATTAGTTGAATAATTGTTAATTAATAGAAAGTAAAATTTTTTAAAAAAGCACATCCTCAGTTATTGTCTTTTTCTTGCTGTTTTCTTGTTCAAACCAAATAGCAAATCCATTCCCAACTGTTTGTTTGGTTAGTCACATAAGTTGAAATGCATTTTAACTCATACCTTCTTTTATTTTTTAAGATTTTATTTATTTATTTGACAAAGATCAAAAGTAGGCAAAGAGGCAGGCGGGGGTGTGGGGGTTGGAGGGAGGAGAAGCAGGCTCCCTGCTGAGCAGAGAGCCCAATGCGGGGCTCCATCCCAGGACCCTGAGATCATGACCTGAGCCAAAGGTAGAGGCTTAACCCACTGGGTCACCCATGCATCCCTAATTCATACCTTCTTTACTATGATCTTATTTTTCTTGTTATGACTCTTGCCATTTTTTATTATGGTGCGCTCAATGAATTCATTACCATGTTATTTATTGCCATACCCAAGCAAGAGCTCAAAAACTCCTGTTCATGGGGGAGAAAGATTCCATTCTAAAAGGTCCTGGGAGGAGGCTCTAGTTATTTGGGCAGGTTACCATAGATCTTACCCTAAGAAAAATGAATTCTAAATTAATTTTTAAATACATATAAACATCATATATCATGTAAAAGAAGAAAAAAATGGAAAAAACTGCAAGAAAATACACATAAACTTTGATCCAATTTTTGCAATGTGAAATATTTTCTAAGCCTAAAAGTATTGGAATAAATCACAAGAAAAAAGATGTACAAACCTCACTGAATAAGATATAAGGGATCATTAAGAAAGAGTAAATAAGTTGTTAAGAAAGAGTAAAAGCACATTTAAAACTCAGGAAAAGTATTTTTAACACATAGGAGAGACAAAGAGGAATATTTTCTTTGTTTTGGAGGGAGTGAATAAGCTTTCTTATTTTTATTACCAATAAACAAACAAGTATATGTTAAAAATCTCCAAAAAGTAATATTTTAAACTTACAAAAAGTTTTTACAAATTCACGAGAGAGTAGTGGATGCATACAATCCATTTTTTTAAATAAAACCTTATTCTTTATTTTTTAATTTTATTTTTTCAGTGTTCCAAGATTCATTGTTTATGCACCACACCCAGTGCTCCATGCAATATGTGCCTTCCATATTACCTACTACCAGGCTCACCTGTCCCCCACTTCCCTCCCCTCCAAAATCCTGTTTGTTTCTCAGGGTCCACAGTCTCTCATGGTTCATCTCCCTCCTCCAATTTCCCCCAAAGTGAATTCTCCTAATGTCCTCCATGTTATTCCTTATGCTCCACAAATAAGTGAAACCATATGATAATTGACTTCCTCTGCTTGACTTATTTCAATCAGCATAATCTCCTCCAGTCCCGTCCATGTTGATACAAAAGTTGCGTATTCAACCACAGTGCTTTTTAATGGGCAAAGAACCTGATTAAGGGAAGAAGGGGCCCTACCAGGTGTGGAGTTGATGTTCCAAAAACATCCTGCCTGGATTTGAATTCCGAATTCTCTAATTTCTCACCATGTGCCTCAAAATCCTCTTGAGGAAAGGAGAACAAAGTGCCTGCCTCCTTAGGGCATCCGTGTGCACATGGACAAGCTCACATACACAACATACTTACAATAGTCACTGGCTCAGAGTAAGCTTGCAATAAGATTTACCTAATATTATTACACTATTTATTATAAGTAAAACATGCTTAAACTTGTAAGTTATTAAAGAATTGCAAAGTCAAGCAGCTGTATTGAATTAAATATAAACGGAACAAAGATAGCTGGAAAATCCCTAAGTATCTGAACATTTTCAAAAACCACTTCTAAATAAATCATGGGTTAAAGAGGTAGTCAGTCACAAGGAATTTAGAAATATTTTGAACTTAAGGAAGTGAAAATGCAACATGTCAGAATTTGTGGGATGCAGCTTAAAGAGAAAATTGTAGTACTGAATACTCATACTAGAAAAAAGAAGGGCCAGAAAGGAAGAAAGAAACGGAGAAAGAAAGAAACAAAGAGAGAAATAGAGAAAGAAAAAGAAAAGATCCTCAAATAAATGATTGAAGTATTCACCTTAAGAAGCCTGAAAACATCAAACTAAACCCAGAGCAAGCACAAAACAGGAAATAATAAAGATAAGAGCAGAAAGAAATGAAATTGAATACAGAAAAATAAGAAAAAAATTCAATGAAAAATGACAATCATTTATTTAAGAGACCAATCCATCGATAAATTTCTAAAGAGAATGTTCAAGCAAAAAAAGGCGTGAATTGTTAATACTACTGATAAAAAGGGAATATCAACACAGTGCTGTTGATTTTACGCCATTAACAGAATAATAAGGAAATAATAAGGAAATATTTCAAACAACTTTATGTCCAAAAATTCAACATTCTAAATCAAATAGAATTCTTGAAAGATAAACTACCAAAATTTACTCAAGAAGAAATAACTATCTGGAGTAGGCCCATATCAATCAAGGAAATTGAATTTGTAGTTATAAACTTTCCACAAAGAAAATTCCAGGACCTCAGAGCATCACAGGCAAATTCTACCGTTTCAGGAAGAAATAGTATCAATTCTACACAAATTCTACCAGAAAACAAGAGAGGAGAAAACATCTCCAAACTCATCCTATGAGGCCAATATTATCCTAATACCAAAAATAGACAAAGACATTATGAGAAAAGAAGCTATAGACCAAAATCCCTTATAAACATAGATGAAAAAAATCTCCAAAAATATTAACATAATGAATATAGCAATATATAAAAATAATAATACATCATAATTGAGAGAAGTTTTTCCTGTGAATTCAAGGTTCATTTAACATTTGCAAATCAATCAATGTCATTCAATATATTGAATATAAAAATAAAAAGCCATATTGAAAGACCCCAGATGTCCACTGACAGATGAATGGATAAAGAAGATGTTGTTGGTACACACACACACACACACACACACACACACACACACACACAGGAATATTACTCAGCCATCAAAAAGAAAGAAATCTTGCCATTTGCAAGAAGTGAATGGAATTAGAAGGTATTATGCTAAGTGAAAGAAGTCGGTCAGAGAAAGACAAATATCATATGACTTCACTCATATGTGGAATTTAAGAAACAAAACAAATGAACATGAGGGAAGTAAGGAAAAATAAAATAAGATGAAGACAGAGAGGGAGACAAACCATAAGAGACTTTTTACTATAGGAAACAAACTGAGGGTTGCTGGAGGAGAGGTGAGCGGTGGGATGGGTAACTGGATGATGGGCATTGGGGAGGA